CCCCCACCTCCTGAGCACCCTCCTGGACAAAACCAACCTCCTGAGCACTCTCCCAGACAACCTCCACCTTCTGAGCACCCTCCCAGACAACCTCCACCTCCTGAGCACACACCCAGACAACCCCCACCTCCTGAGCACCCTCCTCATCCACCTAGGGAAGTGGGGAGTCCCCTTGGCCCTGGAGCGTGGTCTGCAGTTCCTTTGCCCTCCTCAGAAAGCAGGAAACCCCCACCAAAAGTCCCCACGGAGGGACAGACGGGGTCTGTGCAGGGATGGTGTCACCTCTGGGAGGGGGTGTTGTACCACAGGGCTGAACCCGATCTCTGGAGACCCTGGAGCTGCCTCTGCCCCCACCCCAGCACTGCTTTTTAGGCAGGGAAGTGAAAAGAGAGGCCTTGGCACCTCCTCCCCAGAGCTGTCCCCGCTGTCCTGGCTCCCGCCTCTGAACAGTGGGAGCTGTCCAAGGTGCCATCCCTGCATGGAACCATTCCCAGCTCTTCCCTCTGACCAGTCCTCACCTTTGGCCTTTCCCTCCTGCTGCAGGGGATCAGAGTTCCCACCCTTGGCTCCTTCGATGTGATCCACACAGAGATCCCCGTGGGGGACAGGACTGTGACTCTCCAGAGGCCAGTGTTCTACCTGGCCAGGAACCTCGGGGGAGTCTCCAATCTCATGGACAACAACATTGACCTGACTGGTAAGACAGGGAGTGACTCCCTGCTGGCTGCAGGGCTGGGCTCAGGGGGGATCACACTCGTGTTCTAGAAGCAAAGGGAGCAGGTCTGACCCCAGGTCTGACCCCAGGGTCTTTCTGGGTGATGGCTGCAATAAACAGCCCTCGGGAAGCGCCTGTGGCAGGATCTTGCAGGAGTTCCTCCCCCTCTCTGGTGCTTTTCCAGGGGATAAGCCACTGGAGCCTCTCAAATACGCCGAGGTGGCCGTGGAGGCCTCTGTGTCCCGGAGGAAAGCAGAGAGCTGCATCCTGGGCACCACCTCCCTCCTGTACCACTGCCTGGCCAAGGGCGAGAGCGCCGCCTTCATCCTCAGGGACGTGGGCGTGCTCCTCATCGAGGGCAGGAAGGCACACATGAGGTTCTACCCTGACTTCCTGGAGAAGATGACTGGGAAGAACATCCAGGACAGGGCTACATTCAAGGTGAGCCTTTTGTTTCCCCCCCTGCTTGGGCAGACCCTCAGCACTGCTGCTGGAGGGACCCCCTGGCCAGGGGCTCACCTCTCTCTCACGGAGAGCTCCTGCTGCCCTGAGCTCCTCCAGTCCTGAGTGCCTGTGGTAGTTTGGACTTGGCTCCTCACCAAGAGCCCAAAACCACAAGAAAAGGGCTTCCCCCCACTTTTTAAGAACACAGGGGAAGGAAAAAAACCTAAAAGACCAAAATAACAGAATCAAAGCAGTATATATATATATATATATATATATATGTATTTACTCTTATATACAGTTACAAAAACTATGTACATATAAGAAAGAGAACCCCAATACCCCCTCCCCCCCAAAAAAAAATAAAGAAACAGAAGAACAGATATACGTGGCCAATAAAGAACTAGCAGAACAAAATCTTAATACTTTCTTTAAGGAAGCAAAGCCCACACCACCAGATCTCTCCTCTCAAGTTGGGAAGAAGCAAAAGCCTCTCAAAAACTCACAGGCCTGCACTCCCACATGAGAACCCCATCTGCAGAGAGGTTGCCTTGCTTTCTCCAACTCCACTGGAAGAGATCTGCTTTCCAAATTCCTTCCCCCTTCTACTTACACTTCTGCTTATGTAAAGAATAGAATGGAATATTGGGATATGGGTACTTCCTTAGTTTCGACCTGGATGCCAGGAAAAGGCCTAAACCAAACCACTACAGTGCCCTGCCCACGCTGAGGATGTCCTGGCATCTCCACGTTTCTCTGCTGCAGGTTCTCCAGCAGCTGGACCTGGTGGTGTCCCGGGACGTGCCCGTTGCTTCCCTGGCGTTCACGAGCCGCGTCCTCGTCTTTCCCGAGTGAGTGTGGAATTCTGGCAGCTTCAGGCTCTGCCTGAGACAACCAGCAGTGGGACAAGAGGGCACAGCCTGGAGCTGCCCCAGGGCAGGTTTAGGTTGGCCATGGGGAAGAAGTTCTTCCCAGAGAGAGGGATGAGCCCTTGGAATGGGCTGCCCAGGGAGGGGGTGGAGTCCCCGTCCCTGGAGGGGTTTAAGCAGAGCCTGGATGTGGCATCAGTGCCATGGTGGGGGGGACAAGGTGGGGTTAGGTCACAGGTTGGACTCGATGATCCCAGAGGTCTTTTCCAACGGGTTGACTCTGTGATCCTGTGGCTCAGCTGCAGTTTGGGGGCAGTTTATCCTCACGAGCACAGCAGTGCTGCCGTGGGGACGCAGAGCTGCCCCTCCCACACGTGTCTGACCAGTCGTCACTCCCATGAGCAGACCTGAGGGGGCACAGCAAGGATTTTAGGTGACACTTGCTTTCCCATTGTGGCCAAGAATCCTTTCCTGGGTGCTCCCATTTCCCAGGACAGTCCTTAGGGATGGGGCACAGCTGACCTGGGAGAGCAACCAGTGCCAAACTCTCCTGTGACAGAGGCTGGTGGTCCCATGGCTCATTCTTGTGCCTTCTCTTTGCCTCGAGGTTTGAACCGGCGAGTCTGCCCCTGTCACTGCTCAGGGACCATCTCAGGGCCTGGAGAGACATCCCTGGTGGGGACAAAGGGAAGCAAACAGAGAGTTTGCCAGCTGTTGGACGAGGCACGGAAGGTAAAGCAGCTCCCACCTCGCTTCCATAGCCAGGGTAGCTGGCTTCTGGGATCTGATGGGACAATCCCCAGGGATGATTGTCACAAGGGTCTGACTTGTGCCAAAGCTTGGTGCCAGCTCAGCACAGCTTTATCTTCTCAGGTTGGCTCCACAAGAACTCTGGGGAGGGAGGTGCCCAAGAGGCACATCCCTGGGTACAGCAGGAGGGTGGGGATCTGAAGGCTCTAGAAAGTTCCCTCTGCTTTTGAGAGAGGCTCTGTCACCTCAGGGGCATCACCCAGCTCCCCTGCCTCAAACCAGAGGGGCCCAGGGAGTGCTGGCACTGGGGAGGGTGTCAGGCCTCTGGAGACATCACAGCTGTGCTCTTCTGACAAAGGTCTCTCCTTCCTGATTCCAGGGAGATTCCCTGGCCTGGCCATGCCTGCTGGCTCCACCACTAAGGCAGACAAGCAGCCCTGGCACAAGGGGGATGAGGAGATGAAGGACAGCTCTGGGGTCAGGTGAGACTGGAGGCTCAGGGCTGCAGCCAGAGCCCCTTCCCAGCACCAACCCCCTGAGGGACCTGCTGGAGCCCCCATGGCACAGCCTGGCTCCTCTGCAGCCCCATGGGGACAGCCTGTGCCAGCCCAGGGTCCCAGCTCAGTGGGATTCCTGTGGGCAGGATATCGCTCCAGACCCCTCCCAGCCTGTTGTGTCCTTCCAGGAAGCTGCCAGTGATCCCAGGGGCTGCTGCTGCTGGAAAAAAGCAGCCTGGGACTGACCAAGCCAAGGGCAAACCCACCCCCAAGGGCCAAGGGTCAAAGCAAAACCATGGAGAGGAAAAAACCACTCAGAGGGGCAGGGCAGGAGGAGATGGAGAAGTAAAAGATCCTCTTGGAAGAGAAGGAGAAAAGAAAGTTTATCTTGGAAGAGAAGGAGAAAAGAAAGTTCATCTTGGAAGAGGAGCATCAAAAGATTCCCTTGGAAAAGAAGGAGAAAAGAAAGTTCATCTTGGAAGAGAAGGAGAAAAGAAAGTTCATCTTGGAAGTGAAGGAGCATCAAAAAGTTCCCTTGGAAGAGAAGGAGAAAAGAAAGTTCATCTAGGAAGAGAAGGAGCATCAGAGAGTTCCCTTGGAAGAGAAGGAGAAAAGAAAATTCATCTTGGAAGAGGAACATCAAAGGATTCCCTTGGAAAAGGAGGAGAAAAGAAAGTTCGTCTTGGAAAAGAAGGAGAAAAGAAAGTTCATCTTGGAAAAGAAGGAGCATCAAAAGATTCCCTTGGAAGAGAAGGAGAAAAGAAAGTTAATCTTGGAAGAGAAGGAGCATCAAAAGATTCCCTTGGAAGAGAAGGAGAAAAGAAAGTTAATCTTGGAAGAGAAAGAACATCAAAAGATTCCCTTGGAAGACAAGGAGAAAAGGAAGATCTTCCTGAAAGAGAAGGAGAAAAGGAAGATGATCTTCCTGGAAAAGATGGAGAAAAGAAAGATCTTCCTGGAAAAGAAGGAGAAAAGAAAGATCTTCCTGGAAAAGAAGGAGAAAAGGAAGATCTTCCTGGAAAAGAAGGAGAAAAGAAAGTTTCTGCTGGAGGAAAAAGAGAAAAGAAAGTTCATCTTGGAAGAGAAGGAGCATCAAAAGATTCTCTTGGAAAAGAAGGAGAAAAGAAAGTTCGTCCCAGAAAAGAAGGAGAAAAGAGAGTTTCTCCTGGAAGAAAAGGAGAAAAGAAAGTTAATTCTGGAAGAAAAGGAGAAAAGAAAGTTTCTCCTGGAAGAAAAAGAGAAAAGAAAGCTCGTTTCAGAAGAGGAGTGAAATATCCCCTTGGAAGAGAAGGAGAAAAGAAACTCCTTCCCGGAAGAGAAGAAGAGAGGAAAGTTGCTCTTGGAAGGGTGTCCCTGCCATGGAATGTCCAGGCCTGGGAGCCTGAGGGTTCCACCTCCAGGGTCTCTGTCGTGCTGGCACCAGGCCCTGAGCCAGCACAGGGATCCAGACCACGGCCTGAGGCCTTCTGGTCGGTGCTGAAGGAGCCCCAGAAGAGCATTTTGGCAGGATACAGGTTCGAGCCCTCCCTGTTTGTGCCCCCCCTGCACCCTGAGGGACCCCCAGCTCTGAGGTCCCCCGTGCTGAAGAAGACAGAGGTGGTGGCCAGGGGGCTGTGGCCATGGATGGAGTGACAGGACCGGGCTGGGCAGCACCTGAGGTGGCAGAACTGGGATGTGACTGGAAGTGGTGCCATTCCAGGGGCTGTTCCCTGCTGGGAATGCAGAGTCAGAGGGGGGATCTCCAGGGATCCCTCGGCTCTGCTGGATTTTGGGGTCAAGGTGTCCTGCCCTGAAGCCATCTGGGGGGCTGGAGGGCACAGCCAGGACTCTGTCCTGGAGCAGGGAGCCTCCCATGGTGTGAGATTCCCAAAGGAACCCAAAGCCCAGCCCCAGTGCTGCTGCTGGCAGGGGTGAGACCATGCAAGGAAGAACAGAGCGGGTTGGGTTTGGTTTGAGACTTGGCAAAAAGCTGAATTGACTCTAATTGACCAATTGAGCCTCATTTGGAGGGTCCAAAGGCTCATTGTTGAGCCCAAACCCAGCTCAGGGACCGATCCTCCTCTTTAGGATTCATGTTCTGCCATTTGGAGAGCTCAAAGCTTCTTCTGAGCTTCCAGCAGTGTCTGCCCAGCAGCCTGTGAGGGGTCATTGGACCAGGGCAGACCTTTGAGGAGGCAGGTGACTGATATGGGACCAACCCAGCCAACCTCGAGGCCTTCCACATTGAAAATTTCCTGTTGGAAAGTATCCCAGGGGATACCTGATGTTTGACATAAACACCTGGAAATGTGAGGCTGCAGGATGACCTTCCTTTGATCCCAGGGGCTGTGGGGTCAGTCAGAGACAGATCTGAGTGAAACCTGGAGCTGATGATCAGAGAATTCAGAACCCTTGGAAGAGACAAAGCTGCAGCTTAAATATTCCTCGTGACTGGATCCCTGGAGTGGACAGCCCGTGGATTGTGGGGAGTGAACTGGAACCACCATTTTACTGACTCAACCCCCCCTGAAACCCAGCTCAGAGGGGGTGAAGATGAGTATGTGGTGAAACAGAGAAGCCCCCAGAAGGGGCAGAGAGAAAAGAAGAGACAGAAGCCCCCAGACCCTAAAAATTCTGCCCAGGAATTTATTTATTCTTATGAGATACCAGCTTGTACTAATAGGCATAATCATTGATTGTGTTAATAAACCTCTGAAAAGGGGATGAGAGCTCAGTGTTGAACATTTTTTTGACCAAAGCTGAGTCAGTTTGAAGCAGCAGCTTGACTGTGTTTGGATATAATCCTGTGTCCTGTGGATATCAGGAGCATGGACATTATCCTGGCTCATTTAATGTGCTCCAGTGCATCCATGTCACTGCTCTGCAGAACCTCCAGCATTGCTGAAGTGCTCTGTTAGAGAAGAGTTGTGATCCTTCAGCTTTTAAAATCCCTTTGGATCCCTGCAGAGGTGGAAAGCAGGTGCAGCACTGGAGTTGTGCTCCCTGTCCCCACACACAGTCCCAACACCCCCCGGGAGCCCCCGGTTTGTAAAGACACAATTCAAACCCTCTCCAGCTGTTTGGAGGGAAAATCTGGAAGAACTTTCCCAGGATGAGGGGATTTCAAAGATCCCTCTCCCAGCAGGCCGGAGGTGAGCTCTGGGATTGCCCTGGGCAGGCAGTTCTGCTTCCCAACCACCACCCTGGGGAGGCTTTGATTAGAGGAAAACCCCAAAATCAACAAATACCACCCATTGCTCTATTGCACAGCCCAACCCTTGCACAGCCCATCCCTTGCACACCTGCAATACCAACTTCTGCTCTTTCAGCCCCTTTGCACACTGATCTTTAAGCACTGATTGTTTCATTAAATGTCTCCAAAGTTAAATCAGTTTAAGCACTGATTGATTCATTAAATGCCTCCAAAGTCAAGCCATGGATCTTTTCCACTGTATTTTATTGTCTCTTCTCCCTGCCTTACAAACCTCCAGCACAGCCCTGAGTTCTGTTCACTGGAAGAATCTGTGTCAGTCCAGGGTGTATTTTTACACACAAGAAAGAGGCACCTGCTTTTAGGCAGTATTTCAAGTTGCAGTGTGTCTTATGGGAATTCTACTGGGGTTTTTTTTGGCTTTTAGAGTAGCATTTATTTGCAGTTCAGATGTTCACCCAGTTCTGTTATTCAGCCCTGGTTTTGTTAGGCTTCACATTTTTAACCCAGTCATGTTATGTATATTTAGGTAGGTAACGTGTCAGGAAGGAGAATATATGAATACACACAATTTCTGCTGGTAAAAATCAACAGAAATGCTCAAAGCTTTGAAAAGCAACTTCTCCTGCCACTGCCTACTCACCATCTCAGAATCATGGAATGGTTTGGGTTGGAAGGGACCTCAAAACTCATCCAGTGCCACCCCCTGCCATGGGCAGGGACACCTTCCACTGTCCCAGGTTGCTCTAAGCCCCATCCAACCTGGCCTGGGACACTTCCAGGGATGCAAGAGCAGCCACAGCTTCTCTGGGCAACCTGTGCCAGGGCCTCCCCACCCTCCCCATAAAACATTTCTGCCTTGTGTCCCATCTGCCCCTGCCCTCTGGCAGTGGGAAACCCTCCCCCTGGGTCTGGCATGGCAGAGCCTGGGAAAAAACTCTCTGCACCTTTCCCAGAAACCCTTTATGTGCTGAAAGGTCATAACAAGGGCTCCTGGAGCCTTCTCTCCTCCAGGCTGGACACCCCCAGCTCTCTTGGGGTTTCTGCACGGGGCAGTTGGATCATTTTGGAGCCTCTTCTGGGCCTGGTCTAACAGAGCTGGGACTTGCCTGTCCTGGGAGCCCCTGAGCTGGATGTGGCTCCAGACAGAGTGTGGAGAACAGAGCAGGGGGCAAGAATTCCTTCCCATCCACAACTTCCACCCAGACAATTATGCTGCTTCTCTTAATTTTATTCTTATTCTTTTTATTCTTCTTCTTATCGTTATTATTATTATTTTATTATTATTATTCTCTTTACTATTATTCTACTGCTAAATCTCCACCTCCTCCCTGCTGCCCAGGGGCCGGAATCGGGCTCTCCAAGTTGCCAGGTGCCTGTGGAGAGAGGGAGTTGCTGGAGCCCTGCCATGGCCTGGCTGTGGGGAGGGTGTGAGGGTGCAGAGCAGCTCTGGGCACGCCATGGGATGTGGACACCCTGTGGGATATGGGCACCCTGTGGGATATGGGCACCCTGTGGGATATGGATACCCTGTGGGATGTGGGCACCCTGTGGGATGTGGGCACCCCTGGGATGTGGGCACCCTGTGGGATGTGGGCATGCCTGGGATGTGGGCATCCTTGAGATGTAAGCATCCCATAGCATGTGGGTACCCTGTGGGATGTGGGCACCCTGTGGGATGTGAGCACACTGTGGGATGTGGACACCCCGTGGGATGTGGACACCCCTTGGGATGTGGGCAACCTTGGGATGTGGGCACTCCGGGTTGTGGGCATCCCTGGGATGTGGGTACCCTTGGGATGTGGGCACCTCATGGGATGTAGGCACTCCTGGGATGTGGGCACCCCTGGGATGTGGGCACCCTGTGGGATGTGGACACCCCGTGGGATGTGGGCATCCCTTGGGATGTAGGCACCCTGTGGGATATGGGCACCCTGTGGGATATGGGTACTCTTGGGATGTGGGCACCTCTGGAATGTGGACACCCCGTGGGATGTGGACACCCTGTGGGATGTGGACACCCCGTGGGATGTGGGCACCCTGTGGGATATGGGCACCCTTGGGATGTGGACACCCCGTGGGATGTGGGCACCCTTGGGATATGGGCACCCCGTGGGATGTGGGCACCCTGTGGGATGTGGGCACGCCCGGGATGTGGGCATCTGGCTGCACAGGGGAGCTGTGGACATGGAGAGCTCTGGGCAGCAAACAGGGCATCAGCTCCCAGCACGAATCTGAGTTTGGGCAGTGACCAACTGGGCACCCAGAGCTGCACAGCTCGAGACACCCCACGGCTGGCACAGCCACCCAAGACTTGTTTGGCAACCCCTGCCCCCCACAGCACATCCTTTGCCCCCACCCCTCCCTCACCCTTGGATGTCCTTTGCCCAGGCAGGGACCACCAGGCAGAGGAAGAGCACAGTGAGCACCCCGGCCACGGCCACCAGGCAGTTGCTGAGAAGGACCTTCCTGCTGGTCTCAGCATCCACTGCTCCTCTGTGTGCCCTGCCAGCCACAGCCTTTGGGTTGGTCCTGCCCAGTCTCCTCTTGTCCACACCTGGAGGAACAACTGTGCCCGTCAGTGTGTCCTGCTCACCCCTGGCAATCTCATGGGAGGGTTGACACTGCCAGGAAATGTCCTTTCCCACTTTGTTGCCATCTCTGAAGGAGGGACTATCCTAGGGGGAAAATGTTTCCGTGGCTGCAGTGGAAGCTGTGATGGGAACAGTTCCAGGCGTGGAGAAAAACATATATGGATCTTACAGTTATTATATGGTCCATATAATAAAATCCTGCCAATTGTTGTATGTTTTTCTCCACGCCTGGAACTGTTCCCATCACAGGAAGCCAAGGGAACTCCCGAAGGCCTTGCAAGTCTGTGCTCTCTGAGCCTCTCTCTCTCCTCTCAGCCTCGCTCACACTCTGCAGTGGCCACAATCCAGTCCTCCCAGTGTCTGCCCTCACTCCCTATTCCTGGGCATCCTTCACATTTGCCCACAATCCCTCCTGTGCTCTCCTACCTTCCCTTTCCAGGCTTGGCTGGCGCTGCCTGGATGGAGATCTCTGACCCTGGGGGACACATTGTCCCCCTGCACAGGACTCAGGGGGCCACACAGAGCACATGGTTTCCCTTTCTGCAGCACAAGCAGTGCTTGCCTGCCCCCAATTTTCTGGTCTTGTCTCTCCAGGCTGTGGCCCCTGGCAAGGCTGCTCCCTGCTTGGATAGTTTGGGAAACATTCCCCTAGCCTGGCATGGGGGCTGCTGGCACTGCCAAGGGCCAGGGAAAGGTGAAGCCTCAGCGTGGCTCAGGCACAGGGGCTGCAGGAGGATCGTGTAGGGTCCCTCTGCACTCTCTCAGATCCCAGGAGGGATCCCTTCTGTCGTGCCAGGGCCTCCAGGGCCTCCTGGCATGCTCTGGGATGCAGGTCCTGCGAGAGGGATGTTCCAGGATCCAGAGTCACATTTCCCATCATCTGCTGAGGGGGGTCCCAAGAGGGTAAAGCTGTGAAATCCCTGGAAACAGGGTGTGGGGGACAGGGAGCATCTCCCACATCCCCAGAGGGTCCCAGAGCGTGTTCCTGGCATGGCCACATCCTCCCCCCTCAGGTGGCCAAGGGACAGCGATTACCTGACTCTCCTGTTGGCTGAGCAGCCCTCGGCTTTTCCCCAGGGAATGGCACCTCCTGATGGCCTTTCTGAGGTACCTCCACAGTCTCGAGCTCCACAACTTCAGAGAGAAAGTGCATCAGTTCAGTTCCAAGTCCCTGTTCCTCAGTGAGATCCCAAGCCCAGCTCCCAGCTCCACCCCTACCCACCATCAGGTATCTCCTTCAGGGCACCCAGGACCTCAGTCAGTGTTTCCTCCAGCTGCCAGTAAATGTCTCCGGGTTCAGTTCCGTTCTTTGGACCTTAATGGAAAGAAAAAAAATTTCTGGAAGCAGCGCCTGGGCTGTGCTGTCAGTCAGGACTGAGACTGGGAAAGCCCTCCCTGTGCCCACAGCTGACACCAGACCCCCACAGGGAGCTGTTGTCACACCCTGGGGCACCCCCTGTGCTGCCTGAACCC